GGAAAGGAGTCTAAGGAAATCAGTGCAAGCTTGGTCAAACAGATAAAGCACACAGAATTCCACACGCTCATATGTTTCATGTGTTTTCTAAAGCACTTCTTAGAGACCGTTTAGGTGGAATAGCTACGTAGCTGTGTATAAGGGCAGTTCTTCTGCTTTGGGCAATGGGGAGCGTTTTGATGTTTAAAGTAGTGGCCGTAGAGTATTCCTATGAAGGACACAACTCACCCTGCTGTGCTTGAGGACTGTGGTCCCCAACTCCCAGGCTGAAGACTGCTACCAGCCTGTGGCCTGTTAGGAACTGGGCTGCACAGCAGGAGGTGAGCGGTGGGCAGGTGAGCAAGTGAAGCTTCATCTGTATTTACAGCCGCTCCCCATCGCTACCATCACTGCCTGAGCTCCGCCTCCTGTCAGATCGGCAGTGGCGTCACATTGAACTCTCACGGGAGCTCAAACCATACTGTAAGCTGTGCCTACGAGGGATCTAGGTTGCAGCTCCTTACAACAATCCAATGCCTGGTGATCTGAGCTGGAGCCGAGGCGGTGATGCTAGCTCCGGGGAGCAGCTGCAAATGATTAGCAGAGAGGTTTGACCGCACAGAGACCATATAAATCAATCGCTTGCAGACCCATATGAAAGCCCCATCAGTGAGTGGCAAGTGACAATTATGCTGCATCTGGTGGAGGGTTTTACAGTGGCGAGCGAGCATCATACGTCGGTTGTGCAGCTGCACCTGGTGGCAGGCTTTAGGTCAGAATCTGACACCTATTTTAGTCCGTGCATGACCTGCCCATTATTTTATTTAGCACTTCTGTCCGTGCCTCTTTCCCATACTGTGCACTTATCTCAGCCTCAGTTTTGATAAGCCCCAAAGCTAACCCTAGCAAAAATGAGTGAAAAACAAACGTCCCTGGAGAGCTTCTTTGAAAAGGGAAAAAGAGTCAATGACGAGACAGCAGAAGACTCTAAGACTGCCAACAAAATGAAAGCCGCATTTAAAAGAAAATACCAAGAGTCCTTCTTGCATTATGGGCTCATTGCAGCAGGTGATTCACACTCTCCAAGCCTGCTTTGTATAATACATGGCTACTGGTTATCCAACAAAGCCATGGGACTTTCAAAACTGCTTCGCCACATGGAGACCAAGCACCCTGCTTTAAAAGATAAGCCTTTGAAGTTTTTCAAAAGGAAAAAACATGAACATGAAGAACAGGAGCAATTACTGAAGGCCACCACTTCATCAAACGTGTCTGCACTGAGAGCATCATTCTTTGCGGCTAACCGCATTGCTAAAGCTAAGAAGCGGTTTCCTATTGGTGAAGCGTTGGTCCTGCCTGCTGCTAAGGACAGTTGCTGTGAACGTTTATAAGAGGCTGCAGTTCAAAAGGTGGCACGTGTTCCTCTTTTGGCTAGCACCATAACTAGACGAACTGGTAAAATAGCAGAGGATATTGGGGCACGATTGTTAGAGAGGACTAATGAGTCACCACGGTACGCAATCCAGGTGGAGAAGTCCACTGATGTTGACAACAAGGCAACAGTGCTTGTTTTTGTGCCGTGTATTTTTCAGGAGGGTGTGTATGAAGGTACGTTATGTGCACTTTTGTCGCCAACACCACAGCCGCAGAACTATTCAAGTCTTTGAACGATTACGTATCAGGAAAGCTGAATTGGTCGTTTTTGTGCCAGTATATGCACGGACGGAGCGGCTTCGCGGTTTCACTACTCAGGTCAAAGAGATGGCTTCTGAATGTGGGTCTACGCGCTGTGTCGTCCATGCAGAAAGGCTGGCGAGGCGAAAAATCTCACCTGAACTCAAAAATGTGTTTGCAGGATGTGATTACAAGTACCAACCACATTAACGCGCGTGCCCTTAACTCGCGTCTGTTTGCGCAGCTCTGTGAGGAGGTGGACGCGGGGCACACACGTCTTCTCTTACACACAGAAGCGAGACGGCTTTCTGAAGGTAGATCACCGGCCAGCGTTTTTGAGTTATGAGAGCCACTTCCAGAGATCCTTTTAGAAAAAAGCTGTCGCTGGCAGCGCATTTCAGAGATGCAGAATGGGTCGCAAAATTTGCTTGCTAGCGTGACATATTCAACCTGCTCAACGCGAGCTCAATCTGTCATTTACTTCAGGGGAGAACGACAACTGCGTTCAAGCCAGCAGATAAAGTGGCTGCATTCAAAGCCAGACTGGCATTACGGGGGCGGCGAGTGAACACTGGGGTTTTTGACATGTTTCAAACGTTAGCGGAGAGTTTGAAAGAGACTGAGCCAGGGCCTTCTTCCTCCCAGTTGGTGCATGATCACCATTTCAGCTTTCCCAAGACTTTGAGCATTACTTTCCCACCACAAAAGACCCCGGACTGGCAAGGAATGGATCTGCGACCCATTTGTGAATAAGCCAGGTGAATCCACTTGATCTGTGTTAGAAGACGATCGACTGCTTGAGATTCCAAATGATGGTGGCCTTAAATGTATGTTCGGGACAACTTCAAATCTCTGTATGTTCTGGATTAAAGTCAAGGCAGCAGAATATCCCGAGGTTGCCACAAAAGCACTGAAAACCCTGCTTCCATTTCCAACATCCTATCTTTGTGAAGCAGGGTTCTCTATGGGGACAGCAACCCAAACAAGATTATGGGGTAGAGTGGATGTAAGCACTCTGCCCTGTGGGAATGGGGGCTCCGTGAACTGGTGCATGAAAATGCTGTTACTTTGGCTGCTGTTACTGCTATGAATAATAAAGTCCTTTGTTTCTGACCCAGGAGTCTCCTGTCTTCTGCCAGCATCCATGACATCGTGACAGGCTAACTTGCCGGCTTACAAGGAGGGGGGAAGCTGAGCCCCTGCACAGCTCTTGATAGAAGCTTATGCCTGCAGAGCTTTGGAGGCCAGATGAGATGGGAGTCATTGGAGGGTTTTGAGCAAAGGCATGACATGCCCTGACATGTCTTATAATTGTCACCAGGGGTGCCTTATTGAGAATAGAACAGGTAGGGAGGGAGAGATCAATTGTTAGATCAATTATCCAGCAATGACCCAGGGGCAGAGTGGTGAGAAGTCCTGTGATTTCAGATCTTTTGAAGGCGGGGCTGACATTATTTCAGATAGGACAGAATGACAGGCAAAAAGGAAGGCACCAGACTCTCAGCCCAAGCAAACAGAGGCCTGAAGTTGTCCCTGACTGGGATGGAGAGGACTTTCAGGAGAGACAGGTGGAGTGGACAGCAGGAGTTCAGCCCGAGACATGCTGGGTTTAAATCACCAGTTGGGCATCCAGAAGATGGGAAGGAGGCAGGTGGGTACAAATTGGTTATTCAGGCATGAGTTCTGGGCTGGAGATAGAAATTTGAGGTTCATTAACCTGTACATGATATTCAAAGCCATAGCACAGAGAAGATCACAGCAAACAGCAAAGACAAGAGGGCTAATGAGGAGTCCGGGACCTCTGTAGTGAGAGGTTAGGGGGGGTCAGGAGGGAACCACAAAAGAGGCTGAGAAGCCCAAAGTGGAGCTGGAGCACCTGGTGAGCACGTTATCCCAGCCACCAGGAGAAGAAGGGGTTTCAAGGAGGAGCAGTGATGAGTTGCTGCTAATAGGTCACGTAAAATGAGGCCACCTGCCCACATCTCGGTCACTGCAGTCACTTACAAGTGTGGAGCCAGAGGCATATCTCGGATGCCTGTGTGTGCAGCAGGATGTGAGGACAGGCCCAGAATGCCATTACAAAAATGTCAGCACATCTCTCTGGGAAATTGCGGACCCCAGAGGCAGGAACTCCACCAGGCTGGATCCCAGAGAGTCTAGGCCATAAGCAAGCTGCGTGAGAACCAGGTGAAGACTCAGCAGGCTTTAAACTGGGATGTCCCGTGGCCGAGTCGTTCCCAAAAGACCGCTCTGTTCTTGTCCTTTGCCCACTTTTTAATGGGGCTGTTTGATTTTTGTTGTTGATTTTCCTGCGTTCTATTAATATATAGATTCTAGTTATCAGCCCTTTATCGGATGTGTAGCATGGAAGTATTTTCTCCCATTCTGTAGGTTGTTCTGTTTGTACCCCCGTAATATTGTGAAATTAAAAGAATAAGGACCACTGTGGTGGCTGGGGCAGGAACTGGGCCAGAGCTCACAAACCAAGGGCCCTGCGGGGCCACCCTGGTGCTTATGCAAACCCGCCAGTCGCGTTCGCCCCCGGCTGCGGGACGTGCCCTCCATGGCGCTGGGCGGCTCTGCAGTGCGGTTCAGCTCTGCGGGGGCCCCCGGGGCTGAGCTCGCGCGGGGACCCGCGCGGGGCGGCGGGCAGGGGTCTGTGGACCCAGAGGAGCAGGTGGTGGCGCTCAGGACGCAGCAGCTTGAGATCCACAGCTTAGGGATTTAAAAAAATTTTAATAGAAAAAGGATGCCTAGGAAGGCTCCGTGGCATTTTGCCGCACCTCGCACCCCTGTCTCAACTTCAGTTTACTGGAGGAGTGGAAGCCCCACGCCACATGGGCTCAGGGGGCTCTTCGCCTTTGGGAAGAAATCTAATTGATTCAGAGGAAGCGCGCGTGCCTCTTTCGGAAAAGGAGGCCGAAAGTTAACGAACGGCGGAGGGGGGCCGCCGCCACCAAGGCGAGGTGGCGGAACGCCGGCCACTCTCGGAGGCTCCTTTGGCCGGAAACAGACGGAAGCGCCGGCGGCCCGCAGCGCCCCGCCGCCCCGCGTGCGCGCCCGCGCGTGGGCCGGAGCGCCGAGCGCACTCTCCCGCCGCCCGGCGGGCTCCGGCGCGGCGCGGACTACAAGTCCCAGGAAGCCCAGAGGCGGGCGCGGGGCGGGGCCTGGCGCAATTCCCGGGATCTGGCGCGCTGGGAAGCGCCGCGGAGGACGCAGCGGCGGCGGCCGGGGCGCGGGCTCGGGCGCAGGCGGGGGCGGGGCCGACGTGGGCCGGAGCCCTGCGTGCCAGGGAGGGGGCCGGCCGGGCGGGCGGCGGGCGGTGCTCGGAGCGGGCTCCGCGGCTTGCACGGCGCCTGCGGCTCGGTCCCGGCTCGGCAGGCATCGCAACGGCGGCACGGAGCGGGGGCCCCGCGCGGCGGACAGGACGCAGCGCGCGGACCCTCGCGCGGCCCGGCGCCGGACGGCGCGGCCTGCCCGGGGCCGGCCCTGGGCCCGGCGTCGGAGGCGGCGGCTGCCTGGGCTTTAATGGCTGCTCGGCGGAGCAGCGCCTAGGGTGGAAGGCGGCTGCGGCGGAGGAAGGCGCCCGCGCTAGCCGCCTCCCGGGCCGGCCGCGCCCGCCGCGGCGCGCTCCATGGGGGCGCGTCCTCCTGGGCGGCCCTGACCGGGGCCGGGGCGCCGCTCGCGCCGCCGCGCGTCCCGGCCATGAACTGAGCCCGCGGGCCAGCCCCGCGCCTGCTCCGCCCGCGCCTTTCTTCTCGCGCCTCCTCTGCCCGTCGCGGGCAGGCCCGGCTCCCCGGGGGCGGCGTTGCCCGGGCTCGGCGGCCGCGGCTCCGGGGCGGGGGCGGCGGCGGGGGCGCGCGGCTCCGGGCGCGGCGCCTGCACCATGAACTACCAGCAGCAGCTGGCCAACTCGGCTGCCATCCGGGCCGAGATCCAGCGCTTCGAGTCGGTCCACCCCAACATCTACTCCATCTACGAGCTGCTGGAGCGCGTGGAGGAGCCGGTGCTGCAGAACCAGATCCGGGAGCACGTCATCGCCATCGAAGGTGAGGGCCGGGCCGCAGCGGGGCTTCTGGAAGGCGCTGGGGAGCTGGCGCCCCCGGCGCGGCGGGGGTGTGCGCGTGTGTGCGTGCGTGTGTACACACGCGCCGGGCCGGGGCGCGCGGCTGCCCCGCCGGGGGAGCACTGCGGTGCTTCTTGCCCTGCAAGGCCGGGCGAGTGTCGCCTGCGCCCGGCGCGCCGCCAGCTCTGCCAGGAAGATGGATCTTAAGCGTTAATTTGATAATGGACAATAGAGTCTCTCCCGTGAGAAAGTGGCTCCGAGCCGCTGCGTCCTGGGCCACCCAGTGTCCCGGCCCAGCTGACGCCAGGGGCAGATGGAAGGGGTTGGCGCCACCCGACCCGTGACAGGTTGCCAGGCCAGGCCCTGAGCGTCTTGCTGGACGTTGAAGGTGTGTTTTGGGAAGCGCTGCTGCGGGGGCTGAGGCTCTGGCCAGCGCGTCGAGGCGGTGCAGGGTTGCTCTCCTTAGAGTCTCTGCCCAGTTCAGGGGTACAGCGGAGACAGGTGAACTTAGCGCACACACAGAGCCAGTTAGGGCGGCAGGAAACATGGTGTCCAGTTGCAGGTCCACCTGCCCCTGGGCAAACGCTGGCCTCCATAGCGTGGTTTGTATCCAGAGTCCTGGCTCAGATTAGAAGAACCCTACCAGGAGTGTTTAAACCCTCCATTTTAAGGGTCTCACTTTCATATGCCTGGCACTTGGGGACCTTGGGTGTAAGCGTTTGGGGAGTAGGGAGGGAATGAGGAGGGTTCAGGTAGAACAGCCCACACCCCGCAGTGTCTGGCAGGGCGGAAGCTCTGCAGGAGAGGGGCGGCCACAGTCTGCCTTTCCTGGGCTGCGTCCGCTCTGGATCACCAGTGGCTCTCATTTCTCTGCTTCTATACTGTTTGCTTGCTTTGTCCCTTTGGTCCTGCCAAGACTCACCTGGGGCACCAGGTGGCAGGTAAATGGGGAGTGTGGAGTTGTACCCTAGCCACTGTTGATTAGCACTCTCCCAGCATCACAATTGGCCAGTGACGGCACAGGCTTGCAGGGTGGCTTGTCCGGGATGCACACCGTCCCACCCAAATACCAGTAAGACTTCTACTGAAGAACACTGAGAACGTTCCAAGGCCTCAGGGCTGTGTCCAAAAGCCCGGTGTGGGTGTTGCCCAGCTTCCCTCCACCTGTGAGTGAGGGCGTCAGCCCACAGGATGGCTTTGTCTTGGCACTATGCACTCTGAACTACTAACCCCAAAGTGTTTTGGTTTGAAACTTGGCCAGTTAGGTGGAGAAGGTGGATGTAGTGTTGCTGATCCCTTTGGCATTTGGCAGCCCTGTGGACTTGAACCACGTCCCAGCCAGGCTGGCTGGCTGGCTGGCAGAGTATAACCGTAGGGGACTTGCTAATTCCAGGGGACGATCCAAACAGAGCTCCAGCCTTACAGGGGACTAGCTCTTAGCGTAACTCGCTCCCGGACCCCCCGTACACCTGGCTGCCCTGTTGGTGACTTAAGATGCTTCCGGATTCCTCAAGAGGCGGAGTCTGTGTGTGCCTCCAACAAGACGGCGAGACCCGCACCCATCTGCTGGTGTTCGGGCCGTGCTGCAGAAGGGCTCCTCCAGGGCCCCGGCTCTGGATCTGCGGCAGCGCTGAGAGGTCCACTGTGCTTATTTCACATGTCTCGTCCCAGCTCTCCGGTCGCATCCGCAGAAGTCTGATGAAACACTTTGAAAGCCGGTGCCAGGCATTGAAGGCACCTGGCTCAGAGCCTTTTTGCTGTGTGGAGACTGCTGGCTGGGTGCGACTCCCGTTCCGAAAGCCGAGCTCTGGGGTCTCCGGTGAGCGCTTCCAGCAAAGCAGTGTGACTTTCTAGCAAGAGGATGTGCTTACATCCGTCCGTCTTTCCTTCTTTTCTCCCTTCCCTTCCGTTTTCCCTTTTCTCTTTCTTTCAGTGTTTGTGTGGTTCCTAGACGATGGATGGTTTTGATAGTTTGATGGTCTAGCCTTTGGGTGAGGCTGGAGGCCCCTTCTTGGGTAGAATCCTTGTCATTTTTTTTATAAGGCTGCAAATCAATGGGTGAATCCTGTTTGGGGCTTTGAGGATGGTGTCATTTAGGAGTAGAAATGTCTACAGCGTGTCAGGGCTGTAGTTACTTTAGTGAGGCTTAGGAACCATTCAAATATGCCTCCGTGCTTTGCACTGTAGCCAACAAGGAGACCACCTTTCATTTGCATGGAACTTTAACGTAAACACTCTTGCGTTCATAATCTCGTTGTGTGGCTGTGAGAAAGGGTGGAGCAGCTTCATTACCCTCATTTTACAGAGGAGGGGGATGGTGAGCCCCCCCAAACATTTGATTGGGATTGTTTACAGTCAGGTCGGGACCAAGGGACCATTCGAGTGGCGTGCAGGTCTGCAGACTGCACCTGCATTGTGGGAACCCGGAGCTGGTGACTCAGCCTGTGTCTGCAGTGTCACATCACTGTAACCGAGGTGGGCTCCACCCCGGGAGACTTACCCACATCTCTGCCCCTGCCTGTGAGGGAAGCTTGGAGGTGTGGATGGTACGTAGCAAAAACCTAAACCTTTCCAAATTTTAAAATAGAACCATTTCCAGTCGGGAAAGTATATGCACATCACAGCCATAGTTTGAAAATCCCTTGTTCCACCAAACAGAGAAAACTGTCCTAATTTTAGAGGGTACCCAGCAAGGGTTTCCCCCCCATCTGTCTCTACATACACAAAATTGGGGTCCTACTTACAAAGCTTCTTGATTACTGTAATGCGAGCGCTTTTTTAGTGTTTTGAGAAACTTTTGAAGATATGATTTCTCTTGTTGGCACAATATTCCAGCATTTGGCTGTTCCATAATTTATTTAAGTTTCCCCTGTCTTCTAGCATCTTCAGGAATTTTTGCTGTTGGAGCGAAAGGAGAGGTTGTTTTGGCTAATGCTGATTCCAAAGCGTGTTGAAGTGGGTCTGGGTCGGAAAAATCTCTTAACGATGGACTACATTTAATTTATTTTAGTTGGAAGAGCCCACCAAGATTCCCAAAGAAAAATAGGTTGGTAATCCTGTTTGTAGGCATGGGATATATGTGATTTTGCCCTCAGTCTTGTTTTAAAATATTAGCTTCTCAGAAGTGTTTTTTTTTTTTTTCTTCCAGATCTTTATTTTATACTTTGAGAGATTTATTTTTTTCCTCTAGACCTCTGGAGTTTAAGGAAGCGTTGCTGATTGATTCAGATTTACCTGATGAGCTCTCTGGGATGTCCCATGGGGTGTGGCATGCTGGGAAAGGCAGCCACGCAGCTGGGGCCGTCTCCTGGGCCTTCCCTGCCACCATGCCCAGAAAGGAGCCTGGGACCCACCCCGCTGCCAGTTTGAACAGTGTGCCTGAGACTTCCCCTCCAGTTCTCCTTTAACAAGTCAGTCTGGGGTTGATGGGTTTGAGGTAAATGAGTCAGCTGCCTTTCTTCTTAAATAAAGCTTGCTCTTCTTTCAAGGATAAAGCCTCTGTCGGCAATCGCACGCTGTAATCCGGGTCGCGGGTGCCATCACCCCAGCCAGCTCCTGCAGCCAAGGCGGGGTGATGCCCAGATTCCCGGGCACCACCGTGGAGTCTGGCCTTTCCCCGAGGCTGAGCCCCCGGCCAGTTCCATGCCTCCATCCATCCTCACCTGCTGGCTGGTTTCAGAGGAAACCCAAGCTCTCCACTGGCCCGGCCTGGTCCCTGGAAGCAGAACGCTGCCCTACACCTCTGGAGGGCATTTTCACTGGGGAATGCAGGGGGCTTCTTAGTAGCCTGGGAAGATGGGATGGGGCCGCTTAATCCCTTGGTGTAGCTGCTTTGTTGAGACTCTCTGCTTGGCAGAGTGTTCAACCTGCGTGTCTCGGTGGTGATCACGGAGGTGCCACTGCTGAGGTCCAGAAAGTGTAGAAAACTTGCCCAAGAGGGGTGAGCTGGGCCCATCCGCCCTTGTGCTAGCTCTCTGTCACCCCTTTAGATAGAAATGGGGGCCCCGTTATTCGTGGTTCCCACAGGCCGTATGCGCAAATCATCCCAAGCTTGTGTTTCCTCGACCCAAGATGAGAATGCCCCAAATAACCCAAGTATCCTCTTCTCTGTCGAGTTGCTTGCCTTGGCCAAACTTTTTATAAGAGTTTGTTTCCGTATAGGAATTTATATAGTCTGCTTTCTGCAGGTGCGTGTGTTTAGGGAAACCAGTATCTTCTTCCTGCCATGGATGAGTGTCATTTTTCTTTGTCACTATCAACCATGTTCGTAATATTTCACGTTTACCCAGAGGTTGGCAGCTTGCAGCCTCCTCCTTAAAACTGAGGCTCAGTTGGCTGTGAGTTGCCTCCAGGTCTCACACCTCACTGGCCTCCAAGGCCCTCCGCCGCCCGGCTGCGCCTGACCAGTCCAGCCTCGTGCCTCTTAGTTGTAGCTCGTGTGCACCTTTGTAATGCTGCCTCTTCTGCCTGCTGCTCGTCCTGCAAGGCCTGGCTGTGTCCTCTCACCTGTGAGGAGCCTCAGCCCATCAGCATTAGGCCTCCTGCTCCCCCCGCCCCCTTCTTACCCCGCCCCAGCTGGAGGACTGGCAGGTCTTTGTGGGCAGAAATCAAGTCTGTTCATTTTTATATCCTCAGTAGTTCACTGGATCGTGTCTGGCCCTTGAAGGATGCCCAGGAGTTGTTTGTTGGCTGATTTAACTTGCCGGAGGGGCTGAGGTTTTCCCTTGAGTGTGGGTCCTTTTGCTCCTCACCCTCATTGGCAGTTGAAGCAGTGTTTGTCCTGTGGCAGAAGCGAGGGCGTTTTGAAACTTGTCTCCTGGGCACAGAAGTTCGGGCTGGGCTCTTTTGCATTTGGTGGGTTAGCTTGGATAGGTGCTCGATGTCATGTGGTATTTGGGGTGGAAGTGACATTTTCTTTCGTGTAGGTAGAGGAAGAAAAAGATCTGCTTGCTGAATCTTGGCAACTCTTTCACGTCAGCTAGC